TTGCAAAGTAATGCAGTGTATAGACTGTTGAGTGAGACGTTCTAGTCAATGAAAGTTTCACTTATTTTCTTTTACTAAAATTTATAAGTCAAACTGGATATTATATGACAAAAACAATACTGTTACAAAGTCTAAATCATACATTTTTATTAACATACTTAAGTCTACTGATGTTACAAATTGTAATAATAAAAATAATAGCAATAATGGCAATAATAGCATTCTAGAGTTAACATTTGCCAGAAACACATATTGTTTCTTATGTAAAGTACCTCATTTAAGCCTCACAATAAATTAAATTAGTCACATAATTTTTAAGTGAGGAAACTGAGACAATAAGAGGTTAAAAAATTACCCAAGGTGACAGTGGCATTGCCTGGATATGGACCCAAGCAATATGATTCCAAAGCCCAAGCTGTTTACAATGTTATATTCTTCCATAGCTACAAAGATGATTGATAGATGATAGATGATAGATAGAAAGATAGATAATTAATAGATAGATAGCAGCTCCAGGGCAAATTTGTATCAAAGAATCTTTTTGGACATCAATGAGAAATAAAATAATTTTAATAATAAACCGCTTTTTAAAAAGTTTTTGTTCCAAGTTTTTATTTAAACTCCAGTTAGTTAATATAGAGTATAATATTAGTTTCAGGAGTAGAATTATTGATTCATCACTCAAATATAATACCCAATGCTCATCACAAGTGCCCTCCTTAATACCCATCACCCATTTAACCTATCCGCCCACCCATCTCCCCTATAGCAACCCTCAGTTTGTTCTCTATAGTTAAGAGTCTCTTTATGGGAATTTCCCTCTCTCTTTTCTTTTTTTCTCTATGTACATCTGTTTCATTTCTTAAATTCCACATATGAGTGAAATCATATGGAATTTGTCATTCTCTGGGTGACTTATTTCACTTAGCATAATACAATCCAGCTCCATCCACATCCTTGCATATGGCAAGATTTCATTCTTTTTTATGGCTGAATAATATTCCATTGCCTATATACATCTATCACATCATCTTTATCCATTTCCATCAGTTGAAGACACTTGAGCTCTTTCCATAGTTTGGCTATTGTTGATAACGTTGCTATAAACATCAGGGCGCCTGTGCCCCCTCAATTCAGTATTTTTGTATCCTTTGGGTAAATACCTAGTAGTGTCATTGCTGGATCATAGGATAGTTCTATTTTTAACTTTCTGAGGAACTTACATGCTGTTTTCCAGAGTGGCTGCACCAGTTTGCGTACCCAGCAACAACGTAAGAGAGTTCCCCTTTCTTGGCATCCTTGCCAACATCTGTGGTTACGTGTGTTGTTAATTTTAGCCATTCTGACAGGTATTTATTTATTTATTTATTTGAGAGAGAGAGAGGGAGAGAGAGAGCAGGGGAACGGTCAGAGGGAGAGGGAGAGAGAGAGAATCTCAAGCAGACTCCGTGATGAGTGCAGAGCCCGACACAGGGCTCAGTCTCACCACCCTGAGGTCATGACCTGAGCCGAAATCAAGGGTCAGTTGCTTAACTGACTGAGTGACCCAGGCACCCCCGACAGTTACTAATAACCCACTTTTAATAGTTAATTGTAATAAAAGAATAGCTATGAATATGCCATAGTCTAAAAACAATCTGAGGAAAATCTACAAGTACATTTATTAATATCGGCAACAATGTTAAATTGACTTTAGTAGACTGAATTTAAAAAATAATCTCTGAATCTGCAGGACCTCTAAAGCCTCACCATTCTAATATAAATCTATTTCCTTCTTTCCCTTACTATCAACAGACTTTGAATTTTAATAAATGCATATACTAATGAAAAATGAACTTTTCTCAATAAGGTGAACTAAAAATAAAGAAACAGCAGTAAATTTATACTTCTCATTTTTTATAAATTGATTTTAGCCACAGCTGCATTAAAAATAATTCACCAAATGTGACATACTGTTGATTTAGTTAGATAGCTAATGTGGCCCTAAGAAATAAAAATGGGGCGCCTGGGTGGCTCAGTTGGTTAAGCGACTGCCTTCGGCTCAGGTCATGGTCCCGGAGTCCTGGGATCGAGTCCCACATCGGGCTCCCGGCTCAGCGGGGAGCCTGCTTCTCCCTCTGACCCTCTCCCCTCTCATGCTGTTTCTCTCTCTCTCTCTCAAATAAATAAATAAATGAAATCTTAAAAAAAAAAAAGAAAAAAGAAATAAAAATGACTTTCATATATTACATCACCATAGAGAAGTCAGAGACAGCAAAATAATATCTTGCCAACTTTAGGAAACAAGGAAACTATAAGGAATTATTTAAAGCTCCATAAACTACCAGAGAATGTGCAGTAGTGAATAAGATAAGCATTTATCTTTCATCCCCTTTAATTTTCCATTGCATTATGCCTCAGCTTGCCAGATGTGTAATGTCAGCAACAAAAATGAATATGGAATAACTGAACTTAGTTTTAAACCTAGCAGAGAAGTATCATCCCCAAAGGGGAACATATTTCTAAAAGCACTTATGCCTATTGGAGTGATAAAACTTACCATTCTAATTTAAAACACTTTGTAGCTAAGATAGTTATTCAAATGTTCCTTTTGACTATATTGGCAAAAAATTAATACTTTGGTAATCCTCATGACATTGCATTTGGCAGTGGATTCTTAGATATGCACCAAAAACACAAGCAACAAAAAAATAAATAAATAAACGACTTCATCAGAATTGGAAACTTTTGTGTTTCAAAGGACACTATAAAGAAAGTGAAAAGGTAACCTACAGAATGGGAGAAAATATTTGCAAAATATATATCTGATAAGGGCTTCGTATCTGGAATATATAAAGAACCCTTACAGTTCAATGACAACATCAAACAACCCAAATAAAAAATGGGCAAAGGACTTAATAGACATTTCTCCAAAGATCTACAAATGGCCAATAAACACATGAAAAGACACAGGAACCTGAACAAATATAGCACGCCCATGTTCATCGCAGCATTACTCACAATACCAATAGTTGGAAGCAACTCAGGGGTCCATTAATGGATGAATGGATAATGTATGTGTATGCATATACACATACAATAACATACACATACAACAAATATTATTTGGCCTTTAAAAGGAAGGACCTGACACATGTTACAACATGAAAGAAACTTGAAGACAATTACACTAAGAGAAATAAGCCAGTCATTAAAGGACAAATACTGTACAATTCCACATATTTCAGGCTATCTAGAGAAATCATATTCATAGTGACAGAAAATAAAACGGTGGTTGTCAGGAGCTGGAGTAAGGGTAATGGAGAATTATTATTTAATGGGTACAGAGTTTCAGTTTTGCAAGATGAGAAGAGTTCTGGAGATGGATGGTAATGATGATTTCACAACAAAGTAAATGTACTTAATGCCTTTGTGCTATACACAAAAACATGGTAAAAATAGTAAATTTTATGTTATGTATATTTTACCACCACAATTAAAAAAATAATAAATTGTTCTAAAATGGGCAAAGGACTTCAACAGATATTTTCCAAAGAAAATATACAATGGCCAACAACCACATGAAAAGACAGTTAACATCACTAGTCATTAGGGAAATGCAAATCAAAACCACAATGGGATATCATTTCATATCCACTAGGATGATTAAAATTTTTTAAAAATGGAATATAGCAAGTGTTGGCAAGGATGTGGAGAAATTGGAATCCTCTACGTTTCTGGTGGGAATGTAGAATGAGGCAGCCACTATGGAAAAGAACTTGAACAATTTGGCAATTCCTCAAAAAGTTAAACGTAGAATTACCACAATCCCTCTCCTAGTTTATGCACAAAAGAACTGAAAACCAGTATTCAAACAAAGATTTGTACAGTAAAGTTCACAGCAGCATTATTCACATTATGTAAGCAGTGTTAACATTCTTTGATAGGCCAGGCCCTGGGCCAGCTCCCTGTTTAATAGTCTTCATCTTTTCCTAACCAACAATAGAGGCTTTTCTGTGGGTGCTGTATGGGCAACCTCCAAGTAGAAATAGAAGATTAAAACATAGGGACAAGGACCAACCTAGAGATAAAAAAGGATTACTATAAAATTACAATTTAAAAGGAAGTTTATAACATAATAAAAAATATTAATAAAAAAAGGAAAACCTAAAAATTCTCTAAAAAGTAAGAGAAAAAAGCAGGAGGATAGAGAGGAAGATAGAGAAAAGTCGAGTTTAGTGAACAAAAAAATGTGATGAGAATAGCACTTTAAATGCTCTTTTAATGTACTTCAATTCCCTTATGTGTGCCCCTATATATATGATCTCATTTGATCTTCATCATCTCCCTTTTACATATGAGAACAATGCGGCACTGAGAAGTTGAGTGGTTATGGTCACACACGTGAACAGTGGCGGGAGGATTTCAGCCCAGGATTGATTCCAAACCCAAAAAAGCTTATCTGATGTAAGGCATACACAAAACCATTAATTATTTCTTATATCTAAAGTCAAAACAATTAACATTATTATTAAAAAACAATCAGCAGTGAATTTTTTGAATAGTGAGACTATAGGCGATTTTTAATGTATCTGCATTTGCTAATTTTCCATGTATTCATTTTGAAATAAGAAAAAAACTTTTTAAAGTATATCAGAGAATTGTTATAGTTCATATCTCCCCTAATGAATAAATACTACCTTCTAAAAATACTGAAACTTAATGGAGGACGCCTGGGTGGCTCAGTCGGTTAAGCATCTGCCTTCAGCTCAGGTCAGGATCCCAGGATCCTGGGATCGAGCCCCGCATCAGGCTCCCTGCTCAACAGTGAGCCTGCTTCTCCCTCTCCCTCTGATCCTCTCCCCGCTCATGCTCTCTCTGTCAAATAAATAAAATCTTAAAAAAAAAAACCTAATGGAAAAAATTTTCTTTTATAAAATATATTTTCCACAAGAGTTGTATCTTTCTCAATTTTCTTTTCTGTGGTAAAAATACACCAAAGTAAAAGAAAAAATACTTACCTGTGCACTGTCCTCCATTAGTTGGATCCCCGTAATAACCTGGCATGCAGTCTTGACACTGCTTTCCTGTGGTAAGATTTTTACACTGTTCACACACGTTATTATTGATGCAAGTGCTATGTCCATTACACTGGCAAGCTAAAGAAATGAGTAAAAAATATGATAAATACCTACAAAACCATAGCAAGTATAATAGCTATCAAGACAAATAATTTATTTTACAAATTTGAATGGTAGCAAAGTCCAAAGGACATTTCCCAAGTTTTATTTTTTTATGTAAAATATATGTGGCTCAAAATATTAATGCAGGACAATATATATAATAAATTGTGTTGAAATTTTGCCATATGTTCTATAAAATATAGGGGAAAGAGATAAAGTAAAACATAACAGTTATAGCTAAAAAGGGAATACTTATTTTTTTTGAGAGGGAGTGGGAGAGAGAGAGTGCACATGAGCAGGGGTGAGGGGCAGAGGGAGAGGGAAAGAGAGAATCTTAAGCAGGCTCCATGCCCAGCACGGAGCCCAATAAGGGGCCCCATCTCACGACCTTGACATCATGACCCGAGATAAAATCAAGAGTCAGACACTTAAGTGACTGAACCACCCTGGTGCCCCAAATAGTAATACTTAGCACGTTCCTTAAAGATTCAAGTGAATATTATGTCTAGAAGTTATACAAACACAAGAATGAATAATATAGCTTTGGTAAAGAATGTTAAAATGCATCTTAATTATATTTACACACAATAACAAAGGATCAATAAATATAGAAAACTGTGTGGCTACAGGTCCTTCAAAAAGCTCCATGTATGATTAACAGAAATAGCACTTTTAAGTTAATTTGCATAAAAGCAAATTATCGTCTTATTTTCTTTGGATAAGAAAAGCTTCAAAGCTTAATCAAAATTCTATTTGAATGTGAACTAAACAGAATCACATTTAAAGCATGAGACTTTTTTATGTGTTTTATGTGTAATATAAGATTTAATAAGTTCTGGTAATAATTTTACAGGAGCATTTCAGATGAGAGATAAAGTTCATATATGAAAGCTCATGCCTTTCGTCCTATTTGGAGCATAATGACTTAGTTTCATAACTGCTTGCCCAAACACCATCATCATTGCCACCCTCATAATCATTTTCATCACTATTACAACTAAGATAGCATTTAATTGAGCTTTCTCTTACTTTAGCCAGGGAAGCCAATATTCAGTCAATTTCAATTGTTTGTGGCCAGCATCTCTTCTGATTGGTCAGAGTACATTTTGTATCAGTCTTAGAATATATAAATACCACTCTATTGCCAGATAGTATATCAGGTGGTATACCTAAATTATATCATTTAATCCTCACAATGATTCTATATGGAAGGCACTACACCGGGGACCATTTCTAAGATAAGGAAGCCTGGGTTAAGCAACCACCCAAAGTAAAACAGCTAATCAATGGCAGAAACAAACACAAAATCAGAAAGTACGAATCAAAAGACAGACATTAAATACCATACCTCTTGTATGTAGAAAATTTGAAAGTGAGAGGGAAATCCTAAGAGAGTAACATAGGTTCATCCACAAGAGCTAACATCAAAGGGTAAAGAAATACACAGGCAAGAACAGTAAAAACTAAACACCTATACCTTATAGAAATTTTCAGAGCCATAACTCTACTGTAAGACAGTATAGAAATAACATAAAGTCATCATGGGAAAATGCTAAATAATCTCCATCATCCTCTTTATAAAACTGAGGAAAATTATAACATAGTTTTCACATTTTATATTACATTATGAAACAATGAGGAAATTTAGAACAAGGAAACATGTTCACAATAATTTAAGTGAAATCAAGATACAAAACATTACATTTAGAATGACAATTTTGTTTTAAAATGTGTAAGTATGGGATGCCTTGGTGGCTCAGTTGGTTAAACATCCTACTGACTTGATTTCAGCTCAGGACATGATCTCAAAATCCTGAGATCTAGCCCAGCATCAGGCTCCATGCTCAGCGGGAGTCTCCTTCTCTCCCTCTCCCTCCCTCACCCTTTACCCCTCCCCCTGTTCGCTCTCTCAAGGGCTCTCTCTCTCTCTCTCTAAAATAAACAAATTAATTTAAAAAAATAAAAATAAGGAGACAAACCATAAGAGACTCTTAATCTTAGGAAACAAACTGAGGGTTACTGGAGGGGAGGGCGTGGGGGATGGGTTTACTGGGTGATGGACATTGGGGAGGGTATGTGTTGTAATGAGCACTGGGTATTATATAAGACTAATGAATCACAGACCTGTACTCCTGAAACAAATAATACATTATATGTTAATTAATTGAATCTAAATAAAAAATAAAAATAACAAAGTTTAAAAAAACAAAATGTTTAAGTATGCCTATGGAAAAGTTAATATAGGTTATCTTAGTTTAGTAAGATTTTTTGCATCATCAATTTTCTATAATAAATTCATATTGCTTCCATAATAAGAAATAATAATGTTAAGAACTTTAATTTTTTAACACTTGTTTAAAAGTGTAAGTTACTGTTTCATAGAAATTTTATTATGTGACACCACTAATTAATTCAGTCAGGTAAAAACAAAATTTATTGAGTGCCCACTACATGTAAAGCATTACCTGAAAAAGTTAAAATAACAAATGGGTTACTATATGTATTTTATGAACCTCCTGGCGATATATTTTCATCATAAAAACAAATGCTTTAACTTCTGAATAAGAAGCAATCACATCTAACATCCTCCCGTTAGCTCACCACTAAAATAAGAAGGAAACTTGCCAGCAACTACAGGAATTTGGGTATGGTGACAATGACACAAATTAAAGAAAGTAGTAAACTACAATATCTCTGGAAATTAAAAGAGGATCCCTGGTGTAATTCCACTCACTGTCTCTTCCTGAAAATGAGAAGTTCAGAAGGCAGTTCTGAGCCATAGGGCAATCATGAAGCATATTATTGGCATGATGCCATACAGCTCATGGAAAGTGTGATACAGGAATTTCAAATGTTTGGGGTAATGAATATACCACACAAAAAGCTGGTACAATTTAGACCTAACTGCAGACAGAATTTCCAAGGGAAAAAAGAAGAGGGGGGTGGTCACTGTCATAGCTTGTAACTAGCATGGTAATAATGGCAAAAGAGAAAGTATGTTACAGAAAGTGGAACCCAGGCATAATGGCTGTAGCAAACACAGACAAGAAAAGGATACACAATAAGCCTATGATTATGTTTTATTCCTACTAGCATCAGGGTGCTGGAGCAATGAGTTAATAGAAGCTTGCATCTAACAGTTCTTGCAGGATACATTGTTACTTGAAAGGTTCTAATAACAACCTGGCTGAGGAACATGAATAAAGCTAAAGAGAAGCTATCCATACTGTTTTGTCTAAATTTTAAAACCAGCCCAGATGGTTCTTTATCTCTGGATACACAAACAGATTAAAAAAAAAAAAAAAAAAGGAAAGAAAGAAGAAAGAAAGAAAGAAAGAAAGAAAGAAAGAAAGAAAGAAAGAAAGAAAGAAAGAAAGAAAGAAAGAAAGAAAGAAAAGAAAGAGAAAGAAAGAAAAAAAGAAAGAAAGAAAGAAAGAAAGAAAGAAAGAAAGAAAGAAAGAAAGAAAGAAAGAAAGAAAGAAAGAAAGAAAGAAAAAGCAAGCAAGCATTATGGAAAACTTAGCATTTGATATGCAAATAAAGTACATAGTTTTGAAAAATATGTGCTCTCTAAAACAGATGTAAAACATTTAAAAATATCTGCTTAACTTCCTCAATAAAACTCAAAAAAAGTATATACAGAAAATTTACTCAAAACATTTTTTAACACATACCCTATCTTAAAACAAAAGGGATTATCAGATGCTAAAAATCAGAACTGGGATTCAAAACAAGAATGTTAAAGAGAATTTTGAGGTAGTAACAGAATTTCACTATACATAGGATAAACAAGCAAGAATAAAGAGACATGGGTTTGAAAACCCAGCATGGCCAGGTGATATGATCTCTGGCATCCTCAAGGAAGAGAGCTAAACTGAACCATATTTATAATGCCTGAAGCCTTCAATTGCAGCCCCTACCTGTGGGGGAGAAAAAAGGTACTAAAGCACATCACAAGCCCAAAGTAGCTGAAAAGAACCTTAAGGACACTGTGGTAGGTGTATGAAAGAAAAAAGTCACTTGTGAGAACTTATAGCCTATGCCAGACATATATGTTGGGTGAAATTCACATTGTCCACATGGTAGAGAAACATCAAACATTAACGTAAAATCTGTTCTGTAATCAAGAAAAACCTCACACACACCTTGCAAAATCAGATGTAAATGGCCCCTTGAAATACTTCTAAAAACTCAGATCATACAAATACAACACAGAATATACGCTGAGAAAAAAAATTTTTTTTCTGTAAAGGGCTAGATGGTAAGTATTTTAGGCTTTGCTGATGATATAATTTCTACCACAATTATTCACCTCTGCCTATATTATAGTGCATTATAGGGCAAAAGCAACCATACACAATACATGAACAGTTGAGCATATCCGCATTCCAGTAAAACTTAATCTACAAATATAGGCAAGGGACCAGGTCCAGCCTTCAGGCCTTGCTTTGCAAACCTCTGACTTGTAGGAAGGTGGGGGGCAAGCAAACAAACAAAAACACTTACAGAGTTAAACCTCAAAAAGAAAATTTACAAAGCATCAAAAAGAAGACTCAGAAGAAAGAGAGAGATAATAAAAATGAGAATTGATAGACCAAGAGCTGGACTCACAGGACAATTAGAAGACAATGAAAATATTAAAAATAATTAAAGACAGAAAAAATAAAACTATGCTTAAAGAAGTAAAAGTAGGTATGACAATATCAGACCAAATAGAGAACAATCGTAAAAACAAATTTTTAAAAAGTGAATGAAAATTAATGAGTAGAATAATTTAATAACTAAAATAAAAAATACACTAGAGGGACTCAACAGTAGATTAATACTGGCAGAAGAAAGAATTAATAGGTCAATAGAAACTATGTCCATACAGAGAGAAAAAAGAATGGAGAAAAGTGAACAAAACCTCAGATAAATGTGGGAAACCATCAAGTACTCAAGCCAACATGTAATGGGAGTGTTGAAAGGATGAGAGA